CCACGCCTGCTTACAAAAGCTTGCAGAAAGTCACACCAATTAAAAGAAAGATCTAGATGCCTATTAATGTCACACCAGCATACAGAAATACATGTTTAAAATTACAGCTGTTGAAACTACAAAACTACTAAAGTTTACAACTGATTAAGCCCATACCTGTTCAAAGAAACACCCTTGAAGAATACACAATCGCTTAGTTACATTTGCTTAGACATATACCTTCTTAAATACACGCCTGCTTGGAGAAACACCTACTTACATTTACATTTGTTCAAATGGATACCTGCTTACATCCACATCTCTCCAGTCAAATACTTTAGATTAACACCTGTTTATAGAAACTCCAAATTTACAACTATTCAGAGACGCTAGCTTGAATCCACACCTGTTCAAAGCACAAAAAATACACCTGTTCGATTAAACACCTGCATAAATTCACATCAGTTTAAAGAAACATCGGCATAAATTCACGCCAATTATTTTTTTATCACAATTGGTCAAAGAAACATTTGCATAAATTCACGCCATTTCAGTTTTTTTTATCACAATTGTCCAAAGAAACGTCTGCATAAATTCACACCAGTTCATATAAAAAAAAACTAAATTCACACCTGTTCAAAGAAACACCTTCTTAGAGATATACGTGCATCTGTCTATATCCTTCGCCCCACTAATAATAACAATAATATTCATGGCAATAATTGTGATACTAATGATGATGAGGATGAGGATGAGGATGAGGATGAGGATGAGGATGAGGATGAGGATGAAGATCGCAACAATAATGATGATAGGAAAAAATAACAGAAGTACATTATTTGGAAAGCCTTTTCTTATTACTTTTGGAAACGTATGAATATTATATAACAAATGGGCGAAGAAAAGTGGTACAGTCACACAAATTTCACGTTTTATTGCATGAACATACATGGAAATGTAGGAACACCCTATCCAAAGTGGAATGAATTTGAAATAAATTGAAACTGGGTAATTCACACATGTAACCTATCCGGGGACCACGTTCCTCGACATTTTCCGTTTTATTTCGCCCAAGAAGTGAAAAGATGTGCATCGTTCTCTGACCAAAGACGTATTGTACCTGTGTCCACCATTTACACTGAAAAGTATATTAAGGAAGAAGTGCAACGTAGAAAAAAAAATATTATTTTCCTAATATTTTTTAAATTATATAAATGCATAATATTTACGCAAGAATTTGATATTTGACATGATATTTATTCTTTGATGTTTTATATAATATTCATTGGT